AAGATTTTCCTTATTCTTCCCTTTACAACCACCCGCCGCCCCCCCCCCCCCCCCCCCTCCATGGGTGGTAGAAGGGTTCCTCTCGCTCCCACAATCTCGGTGCTTAGGGCATTGTGGAAGAATTGTTTGCTGCCGTAATTGACTTTAACGCCCCTCGATCGATGTCACGTCAGACGAGTGTCGAGACAATACAGATTGCAACTATTCGTTCTAGGACCCACACACAATCAGCTGATCGCCGAGTGATGAGGCGATGTTTTTCTCCCATTCTTTTTTCCTCTGTTATTCTTTTTGCTGCCGCGATCCCTTATTTAATTTCCTTCCCCTAGAGGCTGAAAAAGGTGAGCTACTTTTGCTGTTACTTTTTTGTTTACTTGAGCTTAAAAGTGAGTGAGTTTCTGCTGACCGTACTCTGTCATTCGCACAAGAACCCCCATGTACGCGGTGAGACACATTGTATAGCTCGTCCAAACGCCTCTCCTTCATTTTTCTGGTCTCATTCTCGTCCAGCCCCTTTTTGACGGCTTTTCGAAGCCTTTTTCATTTTGGAAACACCGACTCACGCAGTTTCTTAACCATAATCGCCTATTGTCGAGCTGTCTTCCATTTTTCATCATAATCTGGATTACCCAAAATTATCGTGAACTGTTCCTTTAAGTTCCTGAGTTCCGACTTTAGAAATAGCACGTCTAAAAAGCGTTTGAAGAGGATTAAAATATTCTAGAATAGATAACAAAAGGGCTCTGGAGTCAAGAGTGGGCAGTTTTGAATATCTCTCATGTGAATATGACATTTCAATCCATGTATATAAACTCACTTCGTTTGGAGAAAGACAATGCGGACAAAGTTTCAAATCCACTTACGTAATCGCTGCTATATCGGGAAGATGGGTACGAATACAGAGGGGTCAAATCTTTTTAAATGACAAAGCCATCTTTTTGACGGACCCATCCCAAATAAATTGATTAGAATTCCGTGAGTTGCCTTTTTTTTCGGCACTTTCATGCGGATAACCGCCGGGTGATTCGCGGCGCATAATTTATTGCGAATTAACTTATTAGAACAACCAAGGAAGGTGTGGGGCAAGTAGGAGCTATCACAAGCACACCATTTTTCTCCTGGCTTCGAAGTGTATTTGACTTCCTACTGCCCTAATGTTTCTCAGCGTTCAGATACCATACTGCTATGTGGACAATCAAGGGCAATGGTGACTACGACACACTGTCTCGAATTCATTCTTCCTTTCAAACATCTCCTGGAGCACATTCTGGACCAGCTTTTTTGCCATGGCATCGCGAATTCATAAAGAGGTAGAATTAGAGCGACCTTCAATCAAAACCTCATTAGATAAACAAGTTACAGGTTGGAAATAGCTCTACGACGGGTTGATCCATCAATCGCCTTACCATATTGGGACTCTACTCTGGAATCTACAATACCGAATCCTGCTGAGTCCTGTTTGTTCACCAATGAATTGATGGGCAGGGCAGGTCCAGACGGATCTATCCGAACAGGAGCCTTTCGAGGATGGTTAACGGTCGACGTAAGTTATCAGGAAGATGTTTTGATGGAACTCCTCACGATCTCCTTGGGCCAATAAAGATTAGATTGTAACATAAATGATATAATAATACGAATATTTGGATAAATATCAAAAATCCAAAACCCGATCAGTATACGGATCCATTATTCCTTAAGTAGCCCCTCGAAAGCGAAGCTCCAGGATGATTCTTTCCGCCATGCATTACGCCGCGTAGGTCATGGATAGTATTCAAACGTGATTTGCGATATGTGAAAAGGTAAAGTACTACGACGTAGCACCACCGCGTATTGTATTTTGTATTGCAATCCCATTCAATGCATGTAGCAAAAGTGAAACTTCAGCAATCTCGAGTTTTTCGACGTAATCTGGGTGCCACCGGCCGACCATTCCAAGAAGCAGATATAGCTGCCGTACAGGCTACAGGCGACTTCAGACAAGTGCTCGCGAACACTGCCCCGAGTCAGGTAAGCTCTTCACGTTGATGATGTCGGGGTCCTTACTCACTTAGATATGGACGACTCTATATGGGGATCCTCCCTATGTGATATATTATATCATCCTACCTATGTTAACGAAAAGAGAGTATCAAGTTTTGACTACATGTAATTCCAAGTATTCTCTTGAAACGCTTCGAACATTATTAGAAAAATCGTGGAATACTGAAAATAACTTTAGGGTTGCCCAAATCCAGCTGCATGGACGGCCCTTGAATATTCTCATGGCAATCCCCATGTGTTCATAGGAGGTAAACAATTATCAGCGGTTTCTGATTTTTATCATACATAATATCAATCAGTGCGAATTACTTGACTCAAGGATACTTTGGTACCGAATGAATAAAACAGAACGATTCCTAATCAAGGGCCACCCGCATAGGTCGGATGCGAATAAAAAGAACAAATATAATAAATTTTCAACTCACCTCAGACGAAATTCACGACGGTGTAAATTTTGGCCAGCCTCGAGAATGTGACTGAATGCCTTTGCGTAGCATACTTTCCTTTCAGGCGACATGTTTCAACCGACCACATCCACGAACGATCCCATTTTCTGGAACCATCATTCATTTGTCGATCTCATTTGGGAAAACTGGCGACAATCACGACAGGTAAAGCGAGAATCGCTGATATTGTGTTTAAAAGTAGGATATTTATTTGTAACTTCTGATTAAATGTTCAATTACTATCAACTATTACTACATTTTTTTAATTACTTATTTATTGATATTACTTTGATTTATAAATTCTTAGCCTGTTTCTACTTTTGCAGGGTCGTAGCGCTCGCGAAACTCAGTATCCTCCAAATAATGCTGCCTGTTCGAGTGCTGCCCATTACGGCCGTAATACTATGCAACCGTTTTTCCCTATGACCAATATTGATGGATTGTCCAATCAATACACAGGTAAGTTGAAATTATAATTAATTGTAATGAAAATATCGAAAAAAGTTCCATCCAAAAGCGAGCGGTGCTAAAATGCCAAAAGCAACAAGGATATCCACTTTTAGGTCTACAAATATATTACGTCCGCAATAATTGTAAGTTCTGATAAACTACAACCTATTGGGCTACCATTCAGAAGTCTTCATAGCTAATGGCATATACTTCACAAGTCAGAAGAATTTGATCGTGCACTGAATTTTTTGTAACGTTCTACGTGGGTTGTAGGCTAAATCACGATAATGGGAGGGACACCCGCAAATTGGTAAAAGCTTCGACATGCCGTCTCCGTTACTGAAACAATCGCATTAATTTTACAAGCCAGGCCAGTCCCCTTGAATAAGAGGTTTTCGATTGATTTCTTCCGGTTGGATGAAACTAACTTTTTCCAATCCCAAATTCAAGATCAATTGTCTGAAATTAGTTTTGCATTATTATTTTTTAGAAATAAATTAGACATTCAGACAACCTCTATACCTACCAGCCCCGTCCTACGTGCTCAGGTGGAAATCCTCAAGGATGTGGATCGCGGTGATTTTTTAATTTTTTTACGAGAAAAATGACCAATATAGCAATCTATATAGAGGAAAATGCGTTGAGAAANTCTAGGATGAAAGTGGCAACAACTTCCTTACTATACTTCCTTCTTTTTATACTTATCAGGTTCAATCTAGAGGTTGCTTTCACAGTATGAAGAAGAAAGAAAGAAATAAGAAAATAAGTGAACTAGTAATGAAATTGAACAGAAAACTAGAATTAGCAATAAGAATAAATTGTATTAAAAATGATCTGAGGTTTGAAGCTTTCGCCACAGTCACAGCTAGCCTCGAAATCCTTTGAAGAGATTTACGTTTTGCGCATATGAAAGCGATACTTTTACTGCGATACTTATGATCATTTCCTACTCATTCGACTTATGGTTAGCTCCAATCGACTTCACCAAATTCATTCTTTGTATTCACTTTTGAAGAGGTCTTCTGAAAGATTTGAAAATCTTCAGATTCCTGTTCTGTGACTTCTCACATGGTGCTCCGCGTTGCTCGGCGAAGATTGCAGTGGGAGGCAACTGTGGAGGATATTTTAATAGTGAGTGTAGCAAAGCATTAGGTTACGATCAAAAATTCTTCGAATCCCCACTAAATTAGAATTGAAATCAATATTTTTCAGACGAGGATCGTTGCTATCGTAGTATATGTCAGAACAATCGATGTGTACAAAACACGGTAATGCTTCAGTTGAAGCACAACTCAAAATCGGTTTCATTGATTGTACACATTTTAGCAACCGCCTACAACTCAGCCACCTATCATCACCACTACACCAGCTGGACCTACTCCAGAGGTATGCTACGAATATGATTCAGAAAGTGTTCAACAGATCGCTCATTTATCGACCAACCGAGCATTATTTTAGACATGCTTCAATGAGCAACAATGCTGTGCCCCGTGGGCCAATAATGGCCAATGCCGTGCCAATCCGTCGTACATGAGCCAATGGTGCAGAGCAAGTTGTGGTCTCTGCACGCCCAGAACCTATGATCTTAGAGTCGGTACGGTCTCATGTATTTTTCCCTTGAAATCAATACCCGACTCATGGCATTCGAAATCAAAAATAGAAATTGTACATGAATTAGCAAAAGAAAGGGGCGCTATGCAAAGACAACGGTATGCTTTTATTCAACAATACGGCCTGCAGTACAGGCTGTACGGAAAGGCAACCCATGTTGGTAAGTCAGACAGTCTCCTCACGACTGCATGCGTCAAACCTAGACCATCTCGAATACAAGGGACAAATCAGAAAGATTGAAAAATCTTAGATCATAGAGGAGTTTATTGGCTTGTCCGTAAGCTTGTTTCCGTAAGTGCCCATTGAACTCCAAATATGCGTCTTAAGGACATTATCATTGGGGACAGTAGCCGAACTTGTGACGTACTCGAAAAATAATCTGTCAGCAGTATGATTGGAGAGGAACCCCACTTTAAGCTTAAACTAATTCATGTGAATGTCTTGTAGAGTGCTCAAATCGACATGTAATGTGCGCCACATGGGCTGCTCGTGGTGAATGCACCAACAACCCATCATGGATGGTCGAGAACTGTCGACAGGCATGCAATCGTTGTGGACAAACCAGGCAACAGATATGCTATGGTGGCTCCAGTAAGTTCCATTTACTCCAATGCTTTTACCCTTCAACCCCAGTGTTTTTTAGCTAATCTACGCAGGCCTGATATGCGACTGATGTCCAATATTTCAGATCCACCTTCGGCAACAACTCAACCTCCATCAACAGGTAAGAAAAGAAGCTGACTTCGAGTCCAAAGAAAAAGAACTAACAATCATTATTCACTTCAGGAGGAGGTACTTGCGTAAATCAGCATTACTGCTGTATTGCGTGGGCGTCAAGAGGATACTGCTCCAGTTCCGCAGCGTACATGGCCCAATACTGTCCGCCATCCTGTAACCAGTGCCGAGGGTCATCACCGAATCCGCTTTGGAATTCGCAGAGTGAGCATTTGTGATTCAAAATAATACTAGAGCAAATTTAGTTAAAAGAATGTTATACAAACGAGTTCACTTGTAAAATACCGTCTATAAGCCGGAAAAAGTTCCTAAACCTTCGTCAATTCAACACCCTACATATAAGCAGAAGGTACCTATCTCCTAAACAGAAATACTTCTTGGGTACCTCTCAACCAGCTCGAAGAACCAGACCAGACCTGATGATCAAACCCACTGGAGCAGCCCGCACCATTCGGGAACCATTGAGCACCTTCATGGACTCAGCACCCTGATGATCACCACACATACCTTACCTTCTATACATACCTTGTCCGTGGAAGTTCTGATAAATACATTATTCAGACCAAAGCAACCTAACGAGTTTGGGCACTCCATGGGAAACAGACTCATGGCTTTCATTTCGTCATAATCAACTTCTACACCTTTATTCAACTTTCTTAATTTTTCCATGGCGATATTACAACATTTCAGCCTGCGTCGACTTCAGTTCAAATTGTGCTGGTTGGGCTCAGCAAGGCTTATGCAATTCAAATCCCAACTACATGTGGGAGAACTGTAAACGTACATGCGGGTGAGAAGAGATCCTTCACAATCCAAATTACCTTTTCAATCGTTACAGAAAATTGTAAGCATCCGATTATATACAGACCAGTCACAGAATTTGGAAGGTCTCACTAGCAGGATCATAAGTATGATAGTCTAACTTTACGAAGCATCTGCTGGATTGATTTGAATCCTTGAACCGCTGCCAAAACCTCAAGGTTCTTCTAATTCTGGGCGGGGTAAAGATACGGCCGTATATGGATATTTTGATTGGGGAAGTCAATATTCACCTGATATAAGCCTCTTCTCTTTTATGAGATCTTACTGAGCAATTCTTCATATATCCATTCATAAAAGTTCTCATTTGAGCTGAGATCAGGTGTGAGGTGAGTAACCCNNNNCCCCCCCCCCCTCCCCCTCCTTACTAATCAGATAAAAATCTATTGAAATATGTAAAGTGCAAGGAGGGGGACTTGGGGACTTGGGAGAACAGTGCTAACTTGATGCTTTCAATTTATAGCTACGGCCAAATCGCATAGTAGAGAATGGCTTCAAATCGTGCTTTTAGCACTGTAGCATTTTAGATTTAGGTAGTCCAAGAAAGAAGTTCAGTAAATTTCAACAAAGGTATTCCAAAACTATCGAAATCCAGTCTTGGAATCCTTTATTCTATCTGAAATTCCTCTAAACACTTTTTTGTTTCAGAACTTGTTACTTGACGAACCTCAACACCCGTCTCAACAGATGCGGCTTCTCTCGTCGGACTCTTTTACGAAGCGGGGTTCCAGCTACAAACTCGACTGTAAATGCGCATCCACCGGCGCTCAGACGGCAGTCAGCACTCTTGCCTACACCACCTGGCTCAAGATCTCTTAATTCAAGACAGCCGCTACCCTTATCAACACCGAATCTCACACCAAGAAGGTAAGTCCAGTATTATAACAATGCAATCGCTGGATAACACGACTGCAATGCGCGTTATGGCGGTGTAATCGCTCGCAACCGTGCACACACATTGGCAGCAATGCATTTTTCTTCTAGAACTCAACTGCGAGGACCAGTACCTCCTTCAGGAGCTCCCGTCGCGCCATTACGAGGCTGACTTTCTGCCGATCATTGCAAAAGTTTATTTGTCTGTTGCGAATACTTGTAAAATAATAAAGCTGGTTTCAACAAAGGCTAGGTACTGTGGTGGTTACTGACAAAGCCGTTTTTAGAGAAACTTTGGAAACTTTCTCCAGAAATCGGAAACCAACGGAGGTAGAAGACTGTGAATTAGGACCGTGGGTCATTCAACAGCGAACAAATCTGGCAACTCCAGTGACCAGGTGGATAAGATGGTTCAAGAAGGGATCAAAGTTGCACCGAGTTGCATTGAAGGGTCTTATCACTTATACATTTGCCTTCGAAACGTTTACTAAAACCAATTCATGGACTCAAAACTCTAGAAGCCGAGCATTCATGATAGTCGAAGCTCTAAAATTCTTTGTTTCAGCGAAATCATCCTGTCATAAAGGCGGGATTCAGATAGACGGATGGGTTCGACAGCTGCCTATTGCGGTGACCCAAGCGGTGCCTTTAGCTAGCAACTGTATACCAACACTTTGACTAGCCGTTTACAGTTTACACTGAAGCCAAGCTGACGGATCCCAGTTGACGAATTGATTGATCTAGTGGGAAAATCCGAAGTTCTGGACACTAATGAGATAATAAGGCTCGAAAAATTCGGACTGAGCTGCTCACCCTGAGAGTTGTTGTATTCTCCTACTCTATAAAATAATCTAGTGAGCTGATTTAATTGGATTTCCTCAACGGACAAACCAGTATAAGGAAGCTACTTAACTTGACAGTACTCCGCCTCAATACAATCTCCAAATGGTATTATCCACGCTGATAAAACTGCAGAAGGTTAAAGTACACGAACTCTGATTTGTCACTTTGAAGGAGTAATCGAAGGATTGTCTTCGCTCTCATACGCCATTCTGAGTTTCATTATTAAGTACCACCCGCATTTTCTATCTCTTCCTGACCAAACAATTGTTAATTGCAGACGTTTGAGATAGAAGTATAGAAGAAAGGGTCTTGTGGCGATGATCGGTCCCGTTTTCGAGCTGCGTTGCTGCATTCGACTTCAACTCAGAATTGTAGCGGCGCTCAATGCGTATTTAGCCGATGCAATTTCTTCCGATTGCCATTCGCTACACAAGTTACAACTTAATCCGTTCCAATGTATCTGGCACCGGTAACCGAATTCGCAGGGATGGGTGGGTAGGCAGGTCTAGGCGGGTATCTATCCGAACTTCAATCCCCGGACCATACGTCTTGTAGTGTTCCTTGACCATACCTCTATCGTGAACTTTTAGAAAAGAAAAAATGGAAAAATGATGGAAAATAATCTCTACTAGAAACAGTGACTATGGCGTTTCCCATATTCTGGAAAAAAATCGAGTCTGTGAGAATTCTTCAAGACTACAAGACAGGATGGTTCCAAGTCGTGCTTCGAATTCTTTACCAAGCAAAGTGTGAGCTCAACAAAAATCAGAGGAAAAGACTTCACTGATCCAAAACGGTATCAGCCTACTGTTCACAGAAGACCCCAACGGACAGCATCCAGCCTTTTCACAAAAGGCACTCTACATAGGTCATAACTGGCGAATCGTTGGTCGGAGGCCATTGAAACTCGTTGTAATGAATATAATCAGAAACCTACGCAATCGGTGGGATGTAGGGCAAAGGTATGAAGAGCTGCTTCTATCTACATGTGTGGTCCGATATCGAATCCTCAATTGGGTCCTTTCGTGCCCATGCAAGTCTCTCATCCCCTTACGGTCACCAGTTGGTGCCAGACTTTACCGGCAGGATCCACTCGTCTGGAATTCTCAATGCCAAATTCATAGGTCGGTCGGTTGTTACCTGACGAGCACAACAACCTCAACAACTCCGAGTGAAAGACGAGTGTCCAGGCAATTCCGATTCCCGACTGATATCAGATGAATGTGCTACCCGTCGCATAGAGTTCGCATTATCAAATCACATTTCCTGGCCGATTCGCCTCCAGCATGTGGCTGCTTTGACTGCTGACCCCATGCGCTATCACTCGTGGTTTGATAGCCCTCATCGTTGTCATCTGGCCGTCTCCCGCGGGTCTAATGGCAGCCACAACCCTTAAGTGCTCCAGAGAAGGCCGCGCACAATGTCTGTTGCTGGGGCGTGGCCTCGGCCGGTAGGCGGGTCTGTGGGTAGTCGCAATCTTTTCGCCTTTTACCCACGGCAGCATCACGTCATGTCGGACAACGTGAAAAAACCCAAATCGTCCGTCTTACTGTATTTACTTCTTGCTGTTACTGTACTTGTTTTGTTATGTGCTGCCACAATAGTGTTTTTGGCACTTGGAAGTCGAACTCCTGAACCAATTCCACTGGGTAATGCTACCAGCTCATCCCTATTCTTTGTTCCTAACTCTACTCGAACAACCAGTACAGTAAGTACTATTCAAACTTCCACACGACCACCTGAGACAACTCGGATTCCTCGGATACGACCTACAAACCCTGTGTACTCCACCACTAGGGCCACGACAACGCTAACCGCTGCAGCTACCTCACCGACGGGTTAGTTTTCTTAGTCGGCGCTGTTGTGTAACATTGTTTTTCAACGATTAATCAGCAACATCGAATAGTATGTGATCTTTAGACGGTCCCACGACGACTGAGGTCATTACTGTAGCCGTTCAACCTGGAACCTCAGCTGAACCAACTTTCACAACAGAATTTGTGGTTACGACAGAACCATCAACAAGTACTACCACCACCACGACAACCACTACCACCACCACCCAGCAAACTCTGGTGCCCACACCATTCATTGATGAAAATGCCAAGGTGAGGAATGACCCGGTTTTTCAAGGAATAAACCCTCTAAAATGATTTACTGGCAGGTGATTGACAAGTGTATGCTGGTCATCGCCGAACGTGTCACCTGTCCAAAAACGCGAGACGACGTTGTGTAAGTGATGTTTTTCAAGTATTGGCAACGACTTTTTTACGATATTTTTTGTTCGGGAAAATTTATTGCGAGCCCTGTTGTTTCATTTCTTGATTTCTTGAAGAAAAAAAAACGGTTCCAATCAATAATGCTTCTAAAGTCACTGAAAAGAATTCCTGAAGTCCTGCGTCGGGAGAACGCATTACATAGCATTATATTCAGAACGTCAGAATTCTCACTTACAGAAACCTAACCCTTTTTCCAAGCTCTTTTTGTGCTTCAGCCAATTATGGCTACCGAAAACTCTTACAGAAGAATCGCGAAAGGAACTCGGCAAAACGAACCTCGAATCTCACAATCATGCTTCAGGGTTGAGCTAGTGAAAATTGTTCCTCCCATAGTATATTTCGAGAGAAAATCTGGATCGTGCAGAAAAAAATTTATCGCTGGGAAGTCGATTCTCGAGAAATTTATATACAGATGAATACAGTTAGCCGTAGAGCATCTACTGACCTTCGTTTTTGAATCGAGCTTTTTAGCAGGTCTATTTTACTCCCCATAGACCCGATCACCACTACACTGCTCAGCCGAATCCCAGTCCTTTTTCACTTCCTCATCCTTCTTCTTTTCATCTTCCCCTTTCTTCCTCCTTTTATCTTTTTTACCGGTTCTATAACTACTGGTCGGAAAGCTGAGTTTTTCGCATTTGCAAAGTATCCAATAATGAGAGACGGAGTAGAACGAATCTTGGTAGGGGTGTACCTCCACCACGATCCTTTATTACACTAAAACGCGAAATGAGTCCCATTCGGGAGCCTTCCAATTATAACTCCCCAAGATTTAAGGACAAGCTACTTATTCAGTCGAACAATAACAAAGGTCTTCTTGCCACCTGTTTTTGTATTTCAAGAATTTGGCTGAAGTCCTCTTGGCCTAAACAGTGCCATCTCGACCACCAAAAAAGAACTGAGCATGGCTTTGCAGGTTTTTCGATGATGTTTCTTGACTAGAAAATCTCAGCTTTTCTTAAACTTTCATTATCCATTCCTAAACCCTCGGAAACAAACATTTGGCAGGCAATGCCTGCTCGGATCCTCCCTCTTTCTAGCATATCGCGTATCAAAATCATATGTCATATGTACGATGACATGTGTAGTGATGTGGGTTTGTCGTAAATTCGCCCACCTCACCTATTTGATCGGTGAAATGGATGGGACGATAGTAAAAGTCTAATTGCAACCAGCTTCAGATGGATTTAGGCGTACGGTCCCTGGGTAACGGTATAGCTTACGTTCGCGAAAACGTCAAAATGCCCAGATCCCATTGAAAGGTTTCTGAAAAAGAACTGTTTTCAAGATAATTCGCATTATTGATAAGTATACGTAGAGATTCAGGTCAGCATAATGAAATAGTTACAAATGAGGGTACTGGTTCGGGCAGAGGTCGGTTCCGAGTTTTACCAGCTCTTTCCCAGCAAAAAATTGCTCATTCGAAGTCGTAAGCTCTTCACGCGCAATTGTCGGTACCATTGTCTGTATCAATCGGAAATGCTGTAGAAGAACGACGGAACGGCGCCGTTCACCGTTTTCCGTTTGCTAACTAGCTCAACGCCGATACGAAATCACTAGAAAAAGGAAGTCAGCGCAAATCTCACATTGACTCAAACACCCTCGTAAAACTCGTTAAACAATTTTACGAAAAGCGGAGGCGAGACAAAGTAGCGTTTTATTGCTACCTGCTAGTCCATCATCATGATTCGAGATGAAGTCGCGGAATGGACTTGCTAAGCAATACCAGAGAAACTTTTATTTTTCTCAGGACTGTGATAGAGTATCATGTACATTCAAGGGTAATATGACTTATGACCTATTGTCTGACCGCTTCGAATTACTGTGCAGGCCGAATAACCATTAAAATGGAGAGTCGAAACCGAAACCACACCGAAAAGCTATTAGGCGTCGAAGGCTTGTCTTACTTTTTGGAAAAAACACCGAGAGCCAAGAAACTTTTCGGATAGATATTTTGCAAGGATTACAGAAGTTAGAGAGCCCTTACATCTGTACCTATTACATTAGACTATGATAAATGATGTTAAGTATTATAAATACATACATATACCGCCCATTCATCAGCCAAATTACACAGAAAAAACATCTTTCTGAGAAAATTTTTTGCTGGCAGAAACTGCCGAGGTTACAAAAATATCATGTCAAATAGATATATCGGGAATGCTGGGGTTAATTAGGCTAGTTTACGTTGAAAATTAATAGATATGACAAGATCAACAAAAAATATCGATAAATAGTTATAAAGAAATATTGAGTACCCAGAGTTCTCTCGTGAGTGAATCTGAATTTTGGAATATCTAGCAATTTGTTCAAGATTGTTTTCCAAAATTGATTTGCTGATTGTTCATAAATTACACTGTACTTTGAGCTACATTCCGGAAGGCGGTGGGTACGGTAGGTACACAGGCAAAGACTACTGTACACATAAATATTTACCGTATCCATTGCCTTTGTACAATCTAGAACTCCTGTTTTGTTGAGTCTCTCCTCAATGGCTCAAAAAGGATGGACCTATCAGAAGATGAAAATAACCATTGATTATTACATACTGAGGCCTCCGTCCATACAAACAACCTTCCCTAATTCGCTGCCCTTAACATCCACTTTTCAACCCCTTTATGATAGCTAGTGATAAATACGAAGTGTGAAAAAAACTTTTTAGTACACTATCGCCATCTGCGCTCTCTCCACTACACTACGCACTGAATCTGTCCGTGCAGACCGTTCAGCCCACCGTAATTGAGGGCGATGTGCAGATAATTCTTCGCACAAATGAACAAGGGAAACAGGTAAATTTATATTCTCTGTTTTCCATTATTTTAATCAGAATATCCGTAATTAATGAGCTATACTTATACTTGTTTTAGATCTTATATAGCTAATCCTAGTACTGATTATTACAGCATTTTAAAATAAAATAAGAAAAACTTCTCAATAATGGGGACGGAACATAAAAAAATCAGAACGCATTCATTCGAGATTTTTTGTCTACTTAATATTTTGTGTTTTTTCACTAAGACACCTTGACATTAGAGCATACTTATAAACCGATTGATTTTTGCAGATCACTCTTGATGTGGACAGCAAACTTCGTAATGTAGACGATATTCGAGTGGTAAACTGCGACACAGGTTAGTTTTTCGAACAGGCTTTTTACTTTCATGAATATTCGAATGAGTTACTCCTGGACTGGGTCAAGTATCGCTTTGATTGGAGCGCAATTATGCTACCGTAGCTCTTTTTGTCGGATATTTTCATCTTATCGATTATGGGAAGCGCATGAGGTATTCTGCAGAGGCACCAGGATGAGGCTTTGATACTGAAACAGTAGCGAGTAAAAGTTGGCCTGAGTAGGATAGGATTCAGGGACTTTACGGCTGTGCTTTTTGACCCTGTTCTATTTCCGTTCTGTTTACCAGAAGACCTTTCCAAAGAGGACACTGTGAGGGATTTCATAACAGGTACTCCACATGTGTCTAACAACGTCGTTCCCACCAAAAAACCGCTTTACGACAGCTCCGAACCTTTGAAAAAAAACAACTTCTTCCGCTGCCTTTTTTTCTGGAACATCCGAAGTACAACAACCAGGTTCCATTTGTTTCGTTCATGTCGTTCTTGCTCAGTTCGCCACCGCACTTCATGTTAAACTTATTCAACCGCACTAGTGTGATGTAATTTGTCAACGGCTCACATTCAACATAGCTTCGTAGATATTTTAGATGACAGGCCGGCTGTCATGTAGCAAACGTCCGCGTAAATCTGTAAGCCGGGCTGGCCAGCGAGAGAGCAGGGCCACGAGGTGTAAAAATTGGACGTTGCGAGGTTTTCTCGCGGGTCATAACGCCTCTCAGCATCTAGAGATAAACATAGTCCGAAAAACGTTTGTCATACGAATAAGCAATGCATAGAACACTTCGAGTGTTCGAATACTTTGTTGGTTCAAATCATGAAACCACTAAATCCCAAGCTTGCGCGCTAACAGGTTACATGGCTTTGCATTTCTGGTTTATCTAGTGACCAACAAACGTTCTTGTGAAGTAGGTGAGGGTAATTTTATCACGTTTAGACCTTGAGAGCGCTAAAAAATCTTGCAGCGCTCAACGGGGGTCAGTAACCACAACTCCGTCCCCTTGGGTTAAAGGGTTACAGCACATCGGTATGCCGTAAGACGGGACAAATATGAAAATTTTTCCACTTTGCGCTAGTTCACAACTTGGATATGACTTTCAAATGCACTGATCCTGAATTCAGATGTGTTTGTAGAAGTCCAGGGTACTATACACCTGACTCAATTGAAGCCCCCTTGCGGGCTGCTGCCATCGTCGATCGGTGACCGTGTTTTTCTGTGTTACGTGCTGCTATGGTGCAGCCGGAAGGATACTGGGCGGTCAACAGAACTGCGGTATTCATTCTTCATTCTACCCTATACCCAGAAGAAGTTTTCCGAAAAACACAACCATGTCGTGCCATCTAAGTTCTTGGCAAACTGGTGGCACAGAAAAAACATCAACTAATCCCTATTGGCTAGACTGCAACAACCTAGCACAAGTCTTTTAGAGTAACTCATGAACTAGGTTAGCACGCCCTAAATTTCGAAGTATCCCTTCAGAATGGTCACTAAAGCAACTATGCTAGCCGCTCAGGAATCTCAGCAGCCAAGCTGGTGCTGGCGGGTCATGTTTCATTCGCTTTGAGGTCGAGAGAGCTGAGTCACCGCACTCCCTTGTGAACAGCCGCATTGCAGCTCCGCTTACATATCTATACTTCAGAGGTTAAAGATCCCAAGAAAAGCACTTTACGAGCTTTAAACATTCCCACAAAATATCTTCTTCCAACCAAGAAAAAAGATTGAAGGCTAGGAAATGAGAATGTTTGAGCTTTACAGACGGGTTGTTTCGCCGTGTTCCCAATGCTATTTGAATGCTAGATTTATGAGGTATCCCGGCATCACAAAAAAGTCATGCGACAACTCGCCCAACACCCATCTCATCGACGAACGAGATTGATATAAGTACGAGACGCCTCTTTTTCTTTATAGGCCTCGTTTACAGTGGGAAGGCATGGCAACGCAACAATCTGTGTACCCACAAATGAATTCATAGGTTAGGAGCGAACAGTTATCGGGCTGTTCTCACAAGAAGTTGTTCGCCTGATTCGCTGGTAAAAGTGATTGACTTGCAACTGGACCGAGTGAACACTTTTCCGACTCCGCAATCCCTTTTCGAATAATAACGGAACTAACTTCCTAGAACTTCACCTGGAAGCACTGGATGGCAACAGCGACTGATTTTTTGATCGCTATTACTTCGCATCGAATGGTCCAAGGGATAAGTTTCAGTGATGACTCAGCGACGTCTAGTGGGGACAGCCGCATGTGGTCCGGTAAATCACCAATAAATAGCCATCAGCACTAGAACAGGGCGCCAATTCTAACATCTGTGTGGGAACGACGATTACGACCGAATAGAATTGGAAGAGATTTGCGAAGGGTTAGTATGGCTCCGGAATTGATCGACTGAAATACCTGAACGCCAGTGGCTCTTAGATAAGGTGACAGTCGACGATTCTGATAGCATCCCCGGTACCCATTAATCTCGGCGCTGCATGATATTTATTGGTCGCGTTACAGTGACGCGACTGCGTTGTATCCCCGTCTTCCAGGGTGACATACTTCTATCTTAAAATTTCAATATCTTGACGGAATCAGAAGTACAGAACCTTGGATGTGCTCCCCCCTACTGCTCTACTCAGAACCTTGTCGTCTGGCAAACCGATTAGCACTGTGGTTTTTTCAGGTGTGACTCTATGCGTAGCAAAGACAGTCTTCGATCAGCGCGAACAACGGCTTTCACTTATTCTATCCGAAAACGTTCAAGCGGTGAGCTTTCGGTTTTTGAAAAAATATTGAGTTTGAGACACGGAACTGGAGTGTAGCTGACAGAAATTACAGAGTATGAGCTTCAATCTTTATGACATCCTTCTACTGTTGGTATGTTCGTCAGTGTGAATAAAAAGTAGAACGATGTAAAGTCTTTGACTCTGTAATTCATTGCATAGGCCTAATGCGGTCAAAAACTACTAGAATTGTAAACCGAAAACGAATGTTTGGTTTGTACGTAAATGAAACCAGTTATTTCCTTTGAAATTTCCCAACTGGTCTTTGATATCTCAACTTTTAGGGCTCTCATCTACGAGTAGACGTGCTTAAATTCGCCGCAGTGGACACCAGAGATTTCACCTATTCGCAGGCAATTTACTAGATTTACTACCTTCAAACCACGGCTATTTTTAGCCTACATTTCATGACGAATTTATTGGAGCTCCTAAAATTCATAAATTTCTAGATTGCTCCTCGATGGAACCGGAATGCACCAATTATGGTCGGAACTTTACTGAACGCTGGCTCAGCCAAAAGGCTGTTCCCCGGTTTGGAGAATCCTGTCCTAAGAGTTAGTTCCTTTTCCTCAATATATGTTTTCATGCATTCCGAAGCCGTACCAATGAGATTTCGTCTCATCGATATTGCTGCAGCAATAAAATCCGGAGATTGAAAGTATTAGTCTTTTGAAACTCAATTTTCACATTCAAGAGAAAAGAACAGTAGAACACGAACCCCCTCCCCGAACAAGCTCAGAATGCTCAGAGGAAGGGATTCCGCTCAAAGTATCATCTATTACTTACTCGATGCCGGTGCAGATTTCACGTTGACGTAGAGATATAGGAAATCACTCAACTTTTTGAAAAAAGGAATAAATGAACGGTTTTTGTAAGTTGTCTGGTCCCTATAATTGCTAAGGTGACAATTTTCTCCCTGAGTTCCAGTCAGGACCTTGCATTAAACTCTAGGGAACTCGAAAAGGGCTTTGCCATCTGCAGAAGCGTTTCTACATTTTCACATAAAAGATGGTACTGATTTAACCATTTTTAAAGGTATTGATTTGATTAACTACTTATTTAGGCTACTCTTGATCTCTGTGTGAGGTTTACTACTGCTGGCCATGTACGATCGAATGCGGCTACGAAGTTTGTTTCCGGTGACATCACCTGTTTCGAAAGAACGGTACCGCTTGCCACTCAACATATGGCATTTGCCGGCTTTGAAAAGGTTTGTCTGTAAAGAGTGAGCCATGATTTCGTGGTTGCTTTTACATAATTTTGTTACCACTTTTTGAATAGTAAGGGCTTGATGACTGGGTCGACCGAACCGTCTATCAACTCCCTCAAGCGTTCCCTAACTACAAAGTCGGACTGGTCTCAATGATTACTTTCAGGCGGAAACCCTGATACACAACAGAACTACACTTGATGGAGTTGACATACCAGCTGTAGAAGTGGTGTTTTCTCTGAACAAAAACTTCAAGCGTGAAAAACACCAGTGGATCTACAGTGAAGCATCCAAAGTAAGTATACTCACAATTACCCTTACCGGATAATGTCAAAATTAGAAGTAATCTCGTCATGATCACCCCTATGAGGATTATGGTGAAATATGTAGCATGAATGGAAATGGCCAATTGACATAGAACTAGTTGGCTCATAACCTTTCTTATTAACACGAAGGCAGCTCAGGCCGGCGGCAGTAGAGTCGCGTCATAGGTGACGAATCGATGTGAAGGAAACATTTATTTTACAAATAAGTGACGTTTTTAATGGTCATAAAGTCAAAACGAATGCAGGGAGCCGACAAATTGAAATTATGATTGGTCTAATAGTAAAAATAATCTTATGAGGTGATTATAGCAATTTATCTTCGTATTGTATGTGTATGAAAAAGAAAACATGATTGTTCCAGGTAATCTCATTGATGTCTCAATGGACAGGTTTTCCGTATCCACTAGAGGCTTTGAGGATCATTTCAGCCCCCATTCAAGCCTCATCCCACTCCTCACTCGGTCTGATCACCCTCCAGGTACTACCACTGCACTATTTTTGGATGTATCGGACGAAGAAGCAAAATCAACCCCCTCCTTCCTTTTCAGGACCGACTTGTTGAACATCCGACCTACACATTAGCACACGTGACGCTAACCCATTCTGTTATTCAACAGTGGCTCTCAAATGTCGTGAGCGTGGCAAAACCTGATGAGGCTTGCTTTTCGGTAAGTTATCAGTTACCTGGTTGCTTCCAAGATTGTTTCGAAGAGAAGTGTCTCGGTCGGTAGTGAAGGATATGTGAGGTGCAAATATTTGAACGGATTGAAAGTCTGGTTGAAAAAAAAAACTTGGTTCACCATGGAATTTCGACTGCATTTCTTATTGCTTCGCATCAATTCCGAACGATGGAAGGGTGTGAAAGAGAACAATGTCAAATGAAGCACTGTCACCAATGGTTAGGGTGCATTCTCCTAACCATAACTACTAAGGTTGATCCTCAATTCCCAATATCTCGGAGTGAATAAGTGACGCTAGTTCAGCGCTCGTAACTTAAAGGTCAATTCCTAACAAGATTTTAACCAAGGAGCAGAATATAATCCTAATGGCTGGATTACTGGAACCCTACGTGTTTGTTGGAATCAGCATACTTGATTCCATTCTAGTTCGCTTCCGCCAACAGTTAAACAAGTTTCATGTCCACTGAAGTATCACATCGATTCTGCATAGAAGTGGCGCAACCCACAAAAAGTGATTGGAACCCAACTGGAAGTTTTAAGAACTTTGGAAAAGGGTAGAAAGTCTTCCACGTCTACTTCGGTGCACATGATAATTGATTGAGGGTGTGAGCATGTCCCGAAGGTGCGAGTCTGAAGTTCCCACCGTTTCTATTCAAAGCTTAAAAGGGCAAGACCTCCCTGAACCAAACCCGAGTGCAGGGAAAATGTTTATGCTGCACCAGTGAGTGATTGTAATAAGCGCGCATATGATGCATCGGATTTCGCATAATCTTCCAACACCTCAACAACTGTCCGATCGGTCCCCGATCGTCAGCATCGCGTGTCACGAGAAAGGGCACGTACGTTGGTATGGGAGTAGCTGCGGGGGAATGGATAGAGAGACTGGCAGGAAGAATTTGACGCCTGATGCTGAAATGTATGAAAAGTAAATTATGCTTGAAAAAAAAAACAAAAATAGAGCTATACCTCATAAGCTAGTTATTTTCATGATGCAAAAGATTATTTCGAATTTCTCAGCGTAAAGAATCTACTGCTTCAGCACTGATGAACTGTGGAAGACTGGCGAATAGTTTCAATCAAACCCTCCGTGATATGCAACATACCCAAATCCCACCAAAAAATCCGAGAACCTTTAAAGGCGCAGTTGAAAATGAAATTCGCCTACACGGAACCACTCGGCCGCTAATATCAAGCATTTCGAGGCATAAATACTATAAGCGTCTGAATAGTTTTTTCGCGTGGAAATGCCACAGATTTTCTCCCCTAGCGCGTTGAACTGATTCCACAATATCAAGATCAACTGGATATAATATTAAAAAATTTGGCTGTAACACGAGCTGTAATGGTACTTCATACAATCGCTCTTGCTGTACGTACTTGAGTAAACATTTACGGAGTTATGTAAGTTGGATTAAGGGTCCTTAAGTAGTCATCAAGACCTGCACCCAACACCAACACCCATGAAGGGCGCAATAGATTACGGTAAAACAAAGACAAGAAAGATTAAAGCTTGTTGATGTGGCCGCCGAAGTAGACTAGATCGAAAAGTTTTGTCTATCTATGAGTTCATGGCGCCATCTTACTGTAATGATTTGGGGGCTTCAGATGTAGAGAGCGTTTTCCCGAAGCACCGAGAAGTGTCGCAATGTTCCTACTTCTCCAAAACGTCGCAACTCAGCTGATCTTTTCGCTTTCAACTTATCTTTGAGAACCAATCGCTTTAATTTTCCTTCTGTCCGCTTCCGCCCGGCCATTGGCCAGAACTGACCATAACTCTGAGTACTCATCATAAAGTCGACTGCATGAAGTAAATATCTGTGGCGGTACGGTCTGTGATCGTGTAAGGCTTCTGCCGACGGCCAGTAGACGATGTCTGGCGAACAGCCGGTCGATGGCGTAAGCGCTTTCATGACATGGGATGCCATAACAGATCACACAAGACTGCGAACATTTGCCACCGAAGCCGAACAGACCTACACGCTACCGGCCAGGTCACGCCACAGTTAACCAAGTGGTTAGCGCCATTGATTGGATAGAGAGGGGATTCTCCAACCATCAATAAGAAACTCTCTCTACCAAACTTGGAAACTTTAAATATGCTGCATACCTACCACAGAGAGACATTGGCTTAAGGTTACTTCCCATATTTTCGGTATCTTGAAAACATATTTTCATTTTCATATAAATATTTTATTATACCTGATCTATTCAAAAACTTCATAGATTCAGGCCCTATAAAATTTTGAGCCCTGTAATCCTGAGTATGATCTCAAATAAGGGCAAAAATTTCCCTTTGATGAGTTCTCTTACTCTTGAGCTGGCTTCTGAGCATGACCACTCCTAATAGAGTTCGACGAGCAGCTTTTATCGTTTTTTTTTTTGATTTTTCAAAAAATCTATTTCTTAGGAGTTCAGTTATCGATTACTAGTTGGCCAATGTTTAAGAGGGAAAGTGATTCCAGGAATCCCTGACCGTATACTTGGAATGGAAACTCAACGAGGAATTACACATTGTGAACAAGACTCGTGCAAATGAAATAGAATCAATTCGTCCACAGGATCTCAGCATAGAAGGAAAGGACGAGACAAGAATGCTGCGCTCACTAGAAGTGATTTCTATACACTTTTACATCCATTAGGTTTCGAAGTAAAACAATTTGTTGATGTTCATAGCGTTTTTGGCGAATAACCAGAATTTATGAAAATCACTCATGAAGAAATGATAAACAAAGGAAAAATAAACTGAGAGAAAATATAAACAACTAAAATATAAAATAACTGCGTATTTCAGATGATCCATTCATGTCCAGAACGATTGATATCGATTTTCTATACTATCGAAGGGACATTTGGACAGGATACAGTGAAAAATATCCTTAAATACGTCAGTTTGCCTTCATTCTTCTTCATTTTTGACCAGTATTTTTATGAATCCAAAATAATTACAACTCTAACATTATGTATAACTTGATAGCAACAAGTTGAAACTTTTCAATCTTATTATTTTTCAAAAGTAGTTTTACGACTGAACCCGTACAAAAAATTTCAGATGTTCCGTAACTTCGCCTATTCTGCTGCCACCATCGCCGACTGGCAGCAGGCTGCTGTTGAAGTCACTGGGAACGAAAATGCCGGTAAACTTTGTGAAGGCTAGAAACTAGTCAGTATCAATGTTAATGCCCCAAAAATCTAATTTCAGGGGAAATGCTGAAGGAATGGTTCTCACGAAAAACTCGACCAGTGCTACAGATGACCGTCACCACTCAAGCTATTCAATTTGAGGTGAGTTACCGCAGTATCAATTAGTAGGGAGCAAATGTGTATCGGACTCTAACGCAAAATGGTGCAATCGGAATAACACTAGTACTTGGGGAGTGTTGCCGAGCAGTCACATTTTTATTTACCTATTTATCTACAAACAGGAATCTAAGTTAACTTTTCCCAAGAATGGCTCCGTGCGCAACTTTTGCTTGATCGCCTAAAGTGGGAATGAGCTTGAACTGCTTTGGTGAGGTTTATACCGTCCATACCGCACTCTCAATGCACTTTGCATTTAATCCTCGTGACTACCTGGACCAAGATGACTATTGCACCTATTCTTTCGGCTGCTTGTCATAAATATGAAACCAACCCGAAAATGGGAAACAAAATGTCACCAATTCATGCGTTTTACAGCAATTGACCGACGAGCTTTGGACTGTTCCGTTGGAAATCGTCGGTTCTTCGGGTATTCAATTGGTCGCAGTTACGGATAAATCAACAATATTACCGTTTACCTCAAACGACTATGTCATTGCTGATCCACGTAGGAAATCCACTGCTATGATTGTATACGATGTAAGTTTCTTGAAGCTTTGTCTATGGTTTATCTGCTACTCGGATAAGTTCCTCTCATGTTACGGTAGGGTAAGATAAAATCCACAAACATGTCATATGCTTAACAAAGGATGGTTAGCTTTTCTGATGGTCAATTGTCGTTAGGATGGGCTATGGAAATGGCATTATTATTAGAAAGAATTCACAAATTATAAAGGCTTAGCCTAGCTTATCACTGATGGGAGTAGATAACAGCCTTTTCATGATTCATTGATCAACTGGAGACGATAATCAATCGCTTGTAAGCGGGAACATAACGATTCTATTATAGGCGGACTCTTACATTCGTATGATTCGCTGCTGGGATGACACTAGATGTCCAGCGAATCGTGACGCTGTTCGTGGCATTCTTCGGGATCTCGTGGCCGTCTTACTCACCGACCGATTGCCACCGCCACAACTTGTGGATATTCCCAAGTGGAAGGCTGTATTCAAGGTGAGAATGGATTTCATCTTGCAAATAATCATCATGTCAAAGTTACAACAAAAAACCGATAAAGAAACTCCGAGTTTACGAGTTTCTACTCCTCACTAGCCTAGGTAGTTTCTTAGAGGCATTGGGGATCCTAGAGCTCGAACAAAAAAGGTTGACCGATAAGGACATGGGAAGTCGCTTGTGAGCAAGCTTCAAATCAGTGCCGTTTATAGGTTCCGATTTCTAAGAATTACAGACCAACTTTTAGGACCTGGTCACCCGGGGAAGGGCTGCTGATCTTGAGTTTCAACTGGTCCAACAAGTATACACTTTTTGCTGTGCTGTGCGCCACATATGTTGAATGAACAATGCTAAGATCAACTTTGAAGCTTACACTAGCTAACTCATTCCCATATACAATTCAAGAAAAGGGGGCGTGGTTGGCGGAGATACCCGTAGGGGCGGGGTTCCTAAGATGCTTATATTGCATTCAAAAAAATTCCCTACTAATTGCACTTTTTCAAACTTCCTCTGCTACGTTAATACTAACTGTTTCAGTTTTCTCAAAACAACCGTATTCTCAATGGCAACGCTGCTTGCTGTGCGCAGTATGCAATTTCGCGC